ACTCTGTCTCAAAAAAAAAAAAAAAAAAAAATCAAATCTTAACCTTAATAACCAAGAAAGCCCCAAACTTACCAGCCCAGACTGCGTATTTCTCTCCTGCCTACCATCAGATGTAGGGGGTGGAAGGCAGAGCTTGGGGTCAGCAGAAGAACAGGGTGCTTGGGCTGCGGAAGGAGGTGCGGTGGAGGAATGCAGAGGAGGCAGTGCAGCACTGTAACTGCCCCTGGGCAGCGTGGCGGGCACACATGGTGGCACAGGGACTGAAGGGAGAACACCTGGAAACCAGCAACAGTGGGGACAAGACAGCACCACCCTGACAGTCTGCACAAGAGGTCTAATGTGGGAGGCTGGTAAACACAGCCAGTACTCAGCAACTGGCATTATGGCCAAGGCTCCTCCTTCAATACAAGGCACTGTGGGGGAAAAACAATTTGATAATAATAGCCATTCAGATCAAAGGATCAATATAAGCTTTGGATAACTAGTGTTACTCCCTAGATGGTCTCACAAAGCATGAGGTTGACTTGCTGGTTTAAAAAAGATAACTAATGCTGCTAGATGTTCTGTTGAAAAAATAACATGAAACCTAATTTTTTAATCTCAACCTCATTTTATCTGTATGAAGTTAGCACAGATGGCAACAGAACACAGTAACTGCCTATCTAAATGAAAACCACCAGTTCTTAAAACCTACCTCCCCCAGCATACCTATTGGAACAAATCAAAGAAAATGTATCCTCATGCTGAAAAGCACATACTCCCCACTCCACCAATGTTTACAATCTGTTCTTTACTGAAGTTCTGTATCTAACCTGGGTTCTTATGGTTCAAGCTTAAAGTCAAATTTTAGCAATCAAGTGCAGAGACTTTTACAAAGAAAGCTCTGGATGAGCCTGAACACAGATAACTCTGTAAGGTAAAATCAGGAAGACATAGGTAATTGAAGCATTCAGTTGACCCTAGAGCTAAATATTATTTTAAATTTCAATTCAAGTTAAAATTGAAAGTGCTGTCATTCTCAGCACACATGAGTAGTATTGAGAGACAGCAGAAGACAGCTCCTCCAGACAGTGTAAGAAGGAGACAATAGAAGACAGCTGCTCCAGACAGCATAAGGGAACAGACATAGGTTAAGGAGAGACAGAACAATGCCTCTACCTCCTCCAATTACAATTGCTAGGAATAATGGCTGCTGACTTGGTGGATGATACAGGACCCCCTTTAGTCTCAGGGCCTCTTTACAATCTTCAATTATTTAGGACTTCAAAGAGCTTTTTTGTTAATGTGAGTTTTACCTACTAATATTTACTACATTACAAATTGAAACTAAGAAAAAAACTTAAAATGTTTATTAATAAATTTAAAAAGAATGCACCTATTACATGTTAACATGAACATTTGTATAGAAATATTTTTTGAAAAGTTAGAAAGAGTGGCATTATTTTATATCTTCGCAATTCTCTTTAATGTCTGGCTTAACAAAGGATATAACTCTTTGTGCCATCGTCTTAGTGTGTTGGAAAAAAAAAGATAGCTCTTATCTGTTTCTCCATGCAATCTCTTGCAACATCACCTGTCACATAGCCTTTGGAAAACCCCATGGTAGACACCCAAGAGAATTAGAGTGAAAAGGGCAAATAGCATCTTAGCATTATAAAAATAATTTTGACCTCAAAGTACCCCTGAAAGAACTTCAGGGGCCCCCAGAGGAACCAAGACATACTTTGAGAACCACTGCTGTAGGATATAATTGTAGATACACACTTCACCTTCAGGTTTTCGTTACTTGTTGGCCAGACTTACACATTGGATAGTCTTCCTTTTCTTCCATCTGCCCCTCAAAAGCCTGTCCCCCCACCCCACTCATAGTAAAACACTGCTCCAGACTCCTGCAAAGAGGCACAATACAGAAGCAATTTGGCAGTGGCAGAGTTCTTTAAAATTAGAATAAGCGATCCTGATTTTCCCCCAAAACATGATTCCTATCCTTTGCCAGATTTGTACTGTTTTTTTCCTACCATTCTATAAGGCCCTGGTGTTGAACTAACCTGGGTTAAAATACTTGCTCTACCACTCTCACAGCTGGGTGACTTGGGCCAATCATCTAATCCTTAATGAAGTGAACAAACCCCTGACCTTAT